GGGACCACGGGGGTCATCTAGTCCAGCCCCCTGCAATGCAGGAATATTTTGCCCAAAGTGGGGCTCAAACCCCCGACCCATAGATTCAGAGTCTCATGCTCTACCGCCTGAGCTCTAAAAGGGAGTTTCCGTTCAAGCAGAGCCCAGAATAATTAGGGTTGCCATATTTCAAAAAGTAGAAACCAGGACAAGCCCTAAATTGTAGTGCTTTTTTTTTTTTAGACAAGGCCCCAAATAAACGCCAAAAAAGCCCATGAGTCTTAAATCCAGGACAAAGTGCCATCTTTTGGAAATTCCACCTTTGAAATCTTTTGCTAGTCTTTCTTTTGAATGGGGTGGGGGGGTTTTCAATCTGGCCAGTCCCCACACAAAAGAATAAATGGAAATAAAAAAATTCCTTCCAGTAGCACCTTAAAGACCAACTAAGTTAGTTCTTGGTATGAGCTTTCGTGTGCATGCACACTTCTTCAGATACACAAAGACAGTCAGTTAGGATTACCCCCAAACCCTAAAAACTATTTGTGAATCCCCCCCCAGCCAGGCCTCAAAGCCTTGCCTCAAGCATTTTTAAAACTGCATTTCCTCTAAGACAAAAAGCATTAGCTAAGCATATTCCTCTTGCTGTAACTAAAAGACTGCAACAAAGGTAGGGAACAGAGTCCATTGTTTTCTCAGAGCCTTTGGCCTTGCTAAAACCAGATTGCAACTTACTTTCTGTCCGGGAGCCATGCCAAAGCATGAGAATGAAACATAACTGGAAGAGTTCAAAAATGGTCCCAAGACAGGAACTTTCTGTTCATGCTCAGGAGACACATGGGAGGAGAAAGGGGAGGGAACTGGAAGGGGATATATGAGATTTCACCCCCTCCCATATCCAAGAATCTCCTGATGAGTCTGGTGATTTTCCAGAGAGGAGGGGCGGTGTTCTGCTCTCTACTTATTCTGCTCCAGCACCACATCAAAGAGTCAGTCAGTCAGTGTGTCGGAGAGAGAGAGACTGAGTGTTAGAGATCGTGTGTAGAGATAAGGTTGCTGCTAAGAGCAGCTGCAGACACTCAGTGCGGTTTAGCATTCTTTATGCTTAGACCTCATTTAGCTCTGTATATAGTTGTATAATAGTTGTGGATAGAATAAAGAAGATATTCTACAGAGCTGCTCTCCGAGTCGTTTATATACTTTGCTAGAGTCTGCTGTACTCTGCTGTGCCACGACTGTCTTCTGGTGGGAGTGAATCCGGTGCTCACAACTCTAAGCTGTGAGTCCACAGCACTTTGACCTGTTCCTGGGCAGAAGGTGGTCTCTGGAAGTGCTACCCAGCTCGCCTAACCCAGTCGGGGCTGAAGTGGATGAGTCCAGTTGGTGGCACTGGCTCAAGGGCGACACTGTGCAATGGCTGTGAACTTCGTGCTTGTTTTCTGACTTTATCACACTTGCTCCCCTCTCCCCCCCCCCCCCCATGGCAGAATAAAAAGCTCTTTCTCTGGATTTAACCCCTTGGTGTCGTTTGGCTCCTTTCGTCCCTGCTCGGGTGCAACATTTTCCTATCCATGGTTAAAAGGGCCTAGAAAGGCTACAAAAAGAGGTTCTTTATGCAGGCCCCAAACTAGACCCCAAGCAGCTATTTAAGGGCAGTGAGGGAAGAATTATTAGTTGGGAAGCCAGGAAGGAAGAACAGTCCTGGTGGAAGAATTATACACAGCAAATGGGAAGAAATCAGACTTTGACATACTGTATGGGATGCAGGAGGTGGTGAGGGGCTTTTTATACAGCCTTCTTTCTAGAGAAGCTCCAAAAGCCAGATATATGAGCAGAAATCAGGGCGAATGAGAAGAAATCCACTCATAAAGCAGGGACCCCGGGGAATCTGCCTCCTCGGCGCCTGAAACTGAGGCGAGGCTGAGATCCCGAAGGGCGGGAAGTTGGGAAAAGGCGGGAAAAGTCGTTGAGGGGAAGCAGCAGCGGGGGGAGGGGCTCCTCCTCTCTCGCCCCTCAGAGACACGACGGGGACCCTCTTGGGAGGGGAGCAGAAAGGGGTCTCTCTCTCTCTCCCCCTCACAACCCCATTGCCCTCCTCTCATGGCGGAAGGGGAGCCCACCCTCTCCCTGCCGGGCCAAGGGGGTCTCTGGGCGCAGGAGAGCCTGGGGGGAGGAGGGGGCAGAGGAAAGGAAGCGCCCCTTCTCTCTCAGGCAGCCCCATGTCTCTTCCCACCCCCGAGGCTGGGTCCATCTCTGGGCTTCACAGAGGACCCCCCCCCCGGGGCTGGGGGGGAGGGACCCCTCTGGGCTTCCCTGGCTCAGCCCCTCCCCCACTCTCCTGACCCACAGGGGGAGGGGCAGCCCTTCCCTCCTCCTCACTCAGCCTCTCCCCTCCCAACCTCCCTGTTTGCAGATTGAAAACCACCTCCTTCTCCCCCCCCAAACCCAGGTCACCCCCAGATATGATGCCCCCCCGCAGCCATCTCGCCCCCTGCTGTGGGGAGGAGGAAGGAGGGGGGCCAGGCCCCCATGGAGCCCCCGAGGCAGCGCCGTCCCGTCCTCTTCCCATCCCAACACAGGGAGGGGCTGCTCTATGGTCGTAGCTCTAGGGGCAAGCGCATCCCAAAAGGAACCGGAAGTGTCGCTGCTGAATGCGCCGGAAGTGGCCAGACAGGGAAAGGAGGAGGGGCGTCGCTGAAGAGCCCCCCCCGTCGCCGCCGCCCTTTCTCTTGCAGACAAGGAAAGCGGACTAATCCGGAGCCAGGGAGGCGGAGGACCAAGAGGTAAAGAGGGAGAGAAGGGGGGGAAATAGAGGGGGGGATAAGGGGGGAGGAGAACAAAGAGACCCCCCCCGCAAGGAAAGCGCCCTCCCTGGGGCCCGTCGACAGGGGCCCCGATCCCGGCCCCGACCCAGGTGGGAAGGGGGGACCCAACACCTGCAAGATCTCCTGGGCAGCAGCAGCACCGCCAGACTCCCCTTTCTCTTTCCTGGGGGGCCGAGAGATGCTCAGCTGCCCTGGCGGGAAGGGGAATGAGGACCCCAAGCAGGGCTGGGGGTGGGGCTGAGGCCCCCCATTCTCCCTGGGGTCGTGGGGCGCCTGGCTGGGTCCCCAAGAGACCAGCTGAGTTTCTTCTGGGGATAAGCTTTCATGTGCATGCACACTTCTTCAGATTGGACAGTTTTCTACCTGAAATTTGGGAAACACTTCTCTTTCCTCTCAATAATATCTCTTTCAAACTGTGAGCCTCTCCCTTTATCTTGTCCAAACAAGATGATTTGATGGTATTGAAACCAATCCGCCACCACACCTCCCACCTCATCCTGTTTATTCAGTTTTATTTCTTCTTCCAAAAAGTCCAAAAGATCTCTGTAAGTTGCCCATTGCTTCTTCCGTATTGCATTTTTTAAAAAGCTGTTGCTTTTGTGGGTTGGAGCCAAAGAGGTGGTTTTCTTTCCAGCATATTATTATATTTATCTCATACTGTAAAAAGGATTTTCTGAATAACCTGATTCATAGAGCTCTTGTGTGTTTTAGTTTTATCCTGCCATAAATAAGCGTGCCAACCAAACATAGTCTTACGACCTTTGTTATAAGAAGAAACCTGCTCCTTTCCCCTTATGGGGTATCCAAGAGACCATATAGTCCTTAAGTGGGTTCCTTATAGGTAGGAGAAAATAACAGAGGCCAAGCAGAGAATATGGACAAGCAAAGCGGCTAGTAAGCGTGATTTTTATTTCAACACTGTCCCCCCCCCCCTCACCACAACCAGGAGGGAGGTGTGCAAGGCCTTATATAGTCTTTTCAAATTGCCCACCCAAGACCCCCCCCCAATATCATACAGAAGGAGACTTTCTACAGCAGGAATACATCACAGGAGGCGGTCTACAGCAGAAAACCTGTCCCCAAGGATACCTGTTAATGGTCAATAACTGCATTACCTGGGCAGCCTGGGCATTCTTTTGTGATGGTAAATTTCCTGAATCCAGGTCACAGGCCCACCCTGTTCATACCTCCTTAAGGCAGTATTCGTAAACACAAAGACAATGGGAAGGCTTCCATTTGCCTCCTTTACTGCAGAGGAATACTTGAGTACATTTCCGGGCACAATTCAAAGTGTTGGTGCTGACCTTTCAAGCCCTAAACGGCCTCGGTCCTGTATACCTGAAGGAGCGTCTCCACCCTCATTGTTCTGCCTGGACGCTGAAGTCCAGCGCCAAGGGCCTTCTGGCGGTTCCCTCATTGCAAGAAGTGAGGTTACAGGGAATCAGACAGAGGGCCTTCTGGGTAGTGGCACTTGCCCTGTGGAATGCCCTCCCATCAGATGTCAAGAAATTAAGCAGCTATCTTATTTTTAAAAGACATCTGAAGGCAGCCCTGTTTAGGGAGTTTTTAATATTTCATGCTTTACTGTTTTTAACACTCGATTGGGAGCCGCCCAGAGTGGTTGGGGAAACTCAGCCAGCTGGGCAGGGTAAAAATAATAAATTTTATTATTATTATTATTATTATTATTAGTCTGTGGTGCTCAATGTTTAGGTATAGTAAATATTAGGATTTAATTAGAACTTGTGTGTTATAGCGGGGATATGTTATAAAATAGTCTCAGTGTATTTTAGAATGGGAGTTATGTGAAGGGTTTTTTGTGTTTGATCCGTGTTTCTGTGTAAATACTGTGTGTCAGACTGAGAATGTCATCAGGAAGGTCTAGGACAGGGTCACCTGCTTCTTAGCATCAGAAATGAGCATGGAAAGAGTTAATATCATAAACCTACCGGAATTGGCCCCCACCCTTTGTAACAAGCAGCTGTAGTTCTTTTGGGATTTAATATCAGCTCATGAAAAGTTGGGCACATGACCCAGAAAGCTGCCTGGCTCCCTCCGTCTGAAGGCGGAGATATGCAGCACACGCCATAGTCGAATTCGGCTGGACTTGCCATGGGAAAGCAGAAGGGGCAAGCAAGGAAGGGGGAGACGGCCAAAGAAACCTGCTCTCACACAAGTGCCCCCCTTCCGTAACCTTAGCAAAGCCCAAGTTCAAACACCAACCCCTATTTAAAAGAGGCCCCCGTAATGACGACACTGGACTGCCCTTTACGGTTGCCGTAAGTTACTCTTCCAAGTCCCAAAAGCGCGCAGCAACTCTGGACTATTTTGCAGGGCTATTGTTGGCCGGCTAACTGGCGGCCAGCGCAGTCGCAACTGTTGTACTCACACATGTATAGGCACATTTGGGTGATGTCGCGACACGGATATCATTTCTCGATATTGAAATATTGTTGGTGTGTCAATGTGCCCCGCCTCCCCCATTCCGCATTTTCAGAGGAGGGGGAAGAAGGGGAAAGTTTGTCCCCCCAGATAAGACTCCCATCCTTCCTGGCCATGGGCCATCCTTGCTTGGGCAGGTGGTACTTTGAGTCCAACCACATCTGGAGGGCCAGAGATGCCTCAACTCAGCATAGAAGGTTCCTCTAGGGCTCAGTGTTACGTGGGAGTTGGTGGAACAGGATCTTAAGGGTTCTTGAGACATTTCTGAGGGATTGTGATTGGTATCCAGACCCTAACACTATAAATCCAAGGTGTCCACACTGAGCAGTTTATCAACCCTGCTGGCCGCTGGGGAAGACCTTCTGAAGGAAATCGTTTTCCCCAAATTGCTTCCTTCCTTCCTCCGCTGCTGCTGCTGCCCACACTAAAGGAATGTTTGGATGAAATCCCAGGGATGTCTGGCTCCTATTACAAAGAGATCCAGTTGATATTCTAGAATAAAGTGTGGCTAAGATTCTGAGTCACAATCATGGCAGAGAAATACAGCCAGGGAATATGAAACTGATTTGAAGATTGGTTTCTTCTTTACACTTCATTATTATTATTATTATTATTATTATTATTATTATTATTATTATATTACCTTCAGGAGGACACACCACAGGTTTCATCTTCTTTCTTTTCTTTCCAACAATCAGTGTTATTCACCATTAATACTATTTCAGTGTCACACATATTTTTATGTTGTGATCTTCATATGAAGAGAGGTATACAAATTTAATAAATAATTCCCAGTTGGAACAGAGCTAGAATATCCAGAAGCCCTTGGCCACCCACGGCAAAAGAGGAAGAACAGTGAGAGAGGCCTGGACAGGGAATCTCCACTAAGATAAGCCAGTGTCAGGAGGCAGGTGCGAGACCCGGTGGCATATAATTATTATAAAACATAATTGGGGTGGGTGTCTCAATCTGGCCTTCCCAGCAGTCAGGCTCCAGCTGCTTTCCTTCTGCATCTCCAGCTCTCTCCATTCAAGAATGCAAGGCTGAGAGATGGAGGTCCAGCCCAAAGAACATTCTCCCACTGAGCACTCCTTCAACCAACCACAAGCACCAAGCCTTGTCACTAGACTTATATATGGGTCTCCCAAAATGGTCAGTATGGACCTCCTGAGGCCAAAGGGAATGTGCAGCTGATGAATAAAGATCTAGAGGTCGAAGGGGACAAAATGTGGCCCAAGGGGTGGAGGATTATAGTGCAGCAGATGAAGAACTTCATGATGAATTTAGGACCCTGATGAATATTGGCCAGGTTCATGGAACATAGAGCAGCTCCCGTTCCTGTGAGAAACCACTTTTTATAAAACGTAAACCCCACAGTTCAACCGTATTCTAGGATAATGCTGCTTCATTAATGCTTAATTAAGGGTTAGGAAAGGCTGATGATGCATGACCATTATTTAACATTATTTCATCTGTCTTTCCTAAAAACTTGGAACATATGGAGGACAGGAAAGAATGTACGAGACGTCAGAATAAGAGCAGGTGCTAATTGATGTGTGTAATATTCCTTTGTTCTCTTCCTAGAAAACAATAGAATTTTCTCCCCACCCCATCGAAAGAAGACAATGGAGAAGGCAGTCAGAATTCTGGTGGGCCATGTCCAATGGGAATAACAAAGAAACCATTTAAATACATGGAGTGTGGAAAGAGAGAACATAAACAATTTGAAAGTAAGGAGTGTGGAAGGAGCTTCACTGACAGTGGAAAACTTAGAAAACATCAATGGACTCACACAGGGGAGAAACCATTTAAATGCATGGAGTGTGGAAAGAACTTCGCTAAGAGTGGAGACCTTAGAATTCATCAACGGACTCACACAGGGGAGAAACCATTTAAATGCATGGAGTGTGGAAAGAGCTTCAGTCAGAGTGGAGACCTTAGAAAACATCAACGAACTCACACAGGGGAGACACCATTTAAATGCATGGAGTGTGGAAAGAGCTTCAGTCAGAGTGGAAACCTTAGAATTCATCAACGGACTCACACAGGGGAGAAACCATTTAAATGCATGGAGTGTGGAAAGAGCTTCAGTCAGAGTGGAGACCTTAGAATTCATCAACGGACTCACACAGGGGAGAAACCATTTAAATGCATGGAGTGTGGAAAGAGCTTCAGTCAGAGTGGAGAACTTAGAATTCATCAACGGAGTCACACGGGGGAGAAATCATTTAAATGCATGGAGTGTGGAAAGAGCTTCAGTCAGAGTGGAAACCTTAGAATTCATCAACGGACTCACACAGGGGAGAAACCATTTAATTGCATGGAGTGTGGAAAGAGCTTCAGTCAGAGTGGAGACCTTAGAATTCATCAACGGAGTCACACGGGGGAGAAACCTTTTAAATGTATGGAGTGTGGAAAGAGCTTCAGTGGGAGTGGAAACCTTAGAATTCATCAACGGAGTCACACTGGGGAGAAAGCTTTTAAATGTATAGAGTGTGGAAAGAGCTTCAGTAGGAGTGGACACCTTAGAATTCATCAACAGACTCACACAGGGGAGAAACCATTTAAATGCATGGAGTGTGGAAAGAGCTTCAGTCAGAGTGGAGACCTTAGAAAACATCAACGAACTCACACAGGGGAGACACCATTTAAATGCATGGAGTGTGGAAAGAGCTTCAGTCAGAGTGGAAACCTTAGAATTCATCAACGGACTCACACAGGGGAGAAACCATTTAATTGCATGGAGTGTGGAAAGAGCTTCAGTCAGAGTGGAGACCTTAGAATTCATCAACGGAGTCACACGGGGGAGAAACCTTTTAAATGTATGGAGTGTGGAAAGAGCTTCAGTGGGAGTGGAAACCTTAGAATTCATCAACGGAGTCACACTGGGGAGAAAGCTTTTAAATGTATAGAGTGTGGAAAGAGCTTCAGTGGGAGTGGAGACCTTAGAATTCATCAACGGACTCACACAGGGGAGAAACCATTTAAATGCATGGAGTGTGGAAAGAGCTTCAGTCAGAGTGGAAACCTTAGAATTCATCAACGTAGTCACACTGGGGAGAAACCATTTGAATGCATGGAGTGTGGAAAGAGCTTCAGTGGGAGTGGACACCTTAGAATTCATCAACGGACTCACACATGGAAGACACCATTTAAATGCATGCAATGTGGAAAGACCTTCAGTCAGAGTGGACAACTTAGAATTCATCAACGGTGTCACACTGGGGAGAAACCATTTAAATGTATGGAGTGTGGAAAGAGCTTCAGTACAAGTGGAGTTCTTACAAAACATCAACAAACTCATACAGGGGAGAAACCATATAAGTCCCAGGGAAGTGGACAAAGGTGCAGTTGTAGTGGAAGTCTTACAGACCATCAAAAGACTCCCAGGGGTAAGAGTTGTAAGAGTGGAAACACCTCCAGGCCATGAATTAAAGAAGAGAAAGGGTTTAACAAGGAGGAGTGTGGATCCTGCTTTGGTTATTATGCAACGCTTTTTAGAGAGTAGAACCTTTTTCTCTCCGAGTCGACACTTTCTTTCACATCAATAACAGGAAATCAGTCTTAATTCCATGCAGCGTATGTTAGCTTCTGTTGTTTGTAACGTGGTCTAGACATTTATTTAAAGTAATGAAGGTCACATTTCACAAGAGTAAGCCTAATCTAATATTTAATGTAAATGAGTTGTGTTGCTGCTGAATGAGGGTGGACTGAGAGTGAGCTGGTGTTGGTGTTTGGTGGAGGGAGTTGGAAATGTTTGTATCTGGGAATAGAGAGTTGCTCAAAATGGAGCTGAGACTGGTGGTCTTGCATGAGGAGGGAAGGGGGCACAGGGAAGAAGGGGCCGTACCAGAGCATCTCAAAGCAATGTGCTGGGGGGCGGGAACCATGGTGACACAAGTGTGTGTAGAATGCTATCCCCAAAATGAAACCGTAAGGATGAGTATAATGGGGAAGGAGGTTCAGGCAGGTCCCCAACCCAGAGTGCTAAGGGTCAGCTTCCTCCAAATCCACCAGCTGCCCCAAGGCTGGAGCCACCTCTGGGCCTGAGGGTGGAAAGCCTCCGTTCACCTTTGCAACTGGACATGATCCGAGGGCAGTGATGGCAAACCTTTTCCAGACTGAGTACCCAAACTGCAACACAAAACCCACTTATTCCTCACAAAGTTCCAACTACTGCAGTGCACTCTGTGTGGGGCTACCTTTGAAGGTGACCCGGAAACTACAACTAATCCAGAATGCGGCAGCTGGACTGGTGACTGGGAGCAGCCACCGAGACCACAGAACACTGGTCTAGAAAGGCCTATATTGGCTCCCAGTACGTTTCCGAGCACAATTCAAAGCGTTGGTGCTGACCTTTAAAGCCCTAAACGGCCTCTGTCCAGTATACCTGAAGGAGCGTCTCCACCCCCATCATTCTGCCCAGACGCTGAGGTCCAGTGCCGAGGGCCTCCTGCCGGTTGTCTCCCTGCGAGAAGCCAAGTTATAGGGAACCAGGCAGAGGGCCTTCTTGGTGTTGGCACCTGCCCTGTGGAACGCCCTCCCACCAGATGTCAAAGACAACAACTACCACCAGACTTTTAGAAGACATCTGAAGGCAGCCCTGTTTAGGGAAGCTTTTATTGTTTGATGCATTATTGTAATTCAATATTTTGTTGGAAGCCGCCCAGAGTGGCCCAGCCAGATGGGCGGGGTATAAATAATAAATTATTATTATTATTACTATAACATGGCAATTCTACCTGTATATTTAATTTTTTTCTGTTTGTTTCACATTTCTTCTTTATGACTACTGTTGTAATAAATAATCCTTCATAAAAGTTATTTCCTTACGTTCTTCATTAAATTGTCTTTCCATTGATCTGTAATGTTACGGTATAACTCAGTGCTTTTTTTCCTTAAAAAAAATGCTTACGGGGTACTTGTTCCGTTCGCAAAGTAAAGGAAGGATGGAACTCTGATTAATAAGAATACACACAGAGGCTTGAACCAGCAAGACTCTGGGAAGGGTGCGTATAATCGTCTCTCTGTGCTTGTCCGATTCCCACAGCCCCCGCCCCAGGCCGTTTTATTCACAAAAGAACTTTTTACAGAGTGTTCGTAAGAACTAATCAGATTTCTTCTGAGCATTTCCACAAACCCACTGGGGAGAAAGTTAAACTACTAAAACTAATTAAGCACAAATATTTCTGGGGTAAACAAAGAAGAGCATTTAGCAGCCCCGGAGGTCATAAACAAGCAATACACATGATAAGGAGGATGACCAGGAGGACAGCGGATCGTTATCACCTTCATGTGAGATCTGTTTCCTGGCCCTAAGATTAACATCCTAAGATTACCATATAGAACCCTACTTCAAAGAAACTTGCCCACTATCTCTATGGCCCAGGATGCCTGCCTGGCGAAGTAAGAAGCAACTGGGCTGTGTACCTGACAGGAGAAATGGGCAACAGGGAAAAGGGCACGAATGTAGAATCTTATGGGATTTAATCAGAAATTATCGTCAATATATCAAACCCAGTCAACACAATGTCTTCATCGTGGACACGATGGCTTGATGTATATTTTATAATTCCTCATGGTAATCCCATCTGATCCCTACAGTACTCTCATTTTGACTCAAGAAAATCACAACCGGGGGAGGGGATAAATACAGTTGTAATTGGGGAAAATAAATACAGTAGTACCTCAGTTTTCAAACAGCTTAGTTCTCAAACTGCTTGCAACCTGAACTCTTCAAACCCAGAAACGAGTGTTCCAGTTTTGGAACTTTTTTTGGAAGCCGAACATGCTCTGTTCTGAGTATAACTTCCGTTTTGAGTGCCATACTTCTGTTTTCCTTGTGAGGGAAGGTGGGCCGGGTGGCAAGTAGGAATGGGATGGGGCTGCTCCGCTAGGCAGCGTTGCTGCTTGCACGGGAAGAGGAGCTGGATGGGGGCTGCTGAGCTGGGGAGGGACAGGCTCCGTCACCCTTTCCGTTGAGGGCTCTGAGGCTGCACTCCCCTCAAGGGAGAATTTTAAAGGAGCCCCCCCCTGCCTCAGATCCCCTGCAACCCCGTGAAGGCAGCAAGGCTGAATAGTTGCTGGGGTTGGGGAAGGTGGAGGCAGCCCGGAAGCTGCATCTGAGAGCCCCTGCACCACTTGAAGGCAGCCAGACCGCTCCTCAGCGGAGCTTCCCACTCCCGCTCCTACTTGTGTGCAAGGAGGAGTGGAGGCAGGGATCTCTCAGCGCAAAGCCTCCACTTCTGAGAGATCTCCGTCCTGCTCCTGAACAGGGCTGCCTTCAGAGGTCTTCCAAAAGGTATGGAATTCTTTATTTGACATCTGATATTGGGGGGGGGGTGTTCCACAGAGAGGGTGCCACTACCGAGAAGGCCCTCTGCCTGGTACCCTATAAATGTGCGGGAACTGCCAGAAGACCCTCGGAAGTGAACCTCCATGATGATGGGGGGATATTTTCTTTTCCTTGTTGGCTATTGGGACAACTGGGACAGGTAAAGCCAAACATCTTCAGGCCTCTTTGCAGACGGGCCAAAATCGCTCATTTCCCCCCAAAATATAGTCCGGCCCCCAACAAGGTCTGAGGGACAGTGGACTGGCCCCCTGCTGAAAAAGTCTGCTGACCCCTGATCTAGTAGATCCATTGTTGTAACCATATCAAAAAGTATTTGGTATTTTGCCTTCTTCTGAGATACTTTCCCTCAGTGTTCTGTCATAGTCCAGTGATACTACTTCATTAAATTCACCCATAATAATTATATTTCTGTCATAAACCTCAGACATACTTTCCTCCAATAGTTGGAAGAAATCTCATGCGAAGAGGGGCTCTGAATCTGAAAGTCCCAGTCCCAAATCTTAATCCTGCCACCCTAAGATATTATAAGCAAGCCCCACATTCCTCTTTCCACCTGCAATAGGGAGGTTAGAACAACACTTAATACCCGGCAGGCATCATAAAAGCCACAGTTGCTTTGCATTCACAAACGCTATGTGAAATATCAGTCGTGAACAGAATAATTCAAACAAGGAAACCAACAACAGTATTAAAAGAGAGAAAAACTGGATTTGAAATGACCAAACCACAAGATGAAAAGTCTCCCTCCTAAATGAGGGAAGGGGGAGGCATGGGGGGGGGGCTTTTGAAGTCTCCCTGCTGGCAAGGGAATTCCAGAGCAAGGGCGCCTCTGTCTGTCTGGAGTCCCTCACTGCCTCATCTCCAGCAGGAAGGGAGGATTTCCAGACTGGGACCCTTCACTCTTAGGGGGAGGTGCTGGGGCCTGGGCAGCTGGATGGATGGACATCAGCCTGCAGAAATGCTCCCCCTTCCTTTCACAGGACTGTTGTGGTGTTGCATGTGAGTGACAAGGCAACACTCAAGAACAGTTTCCACCAACCAACATTACATCATTCCTCCACTGCCCACAAGAGGGCGATCTTTCCTCTACACATGGTAGAATCCTAGAATTGCAGAGCTGGAAGGGACCACGGGGGTCATCTAGTCCAGCCCCCTGCAATGCAGGAATATTTTGCCCAAAGTGGGGCTCAAACCCCCGACCCATAGATTCAGAGTCTCATGCTCTACCGCCTGAGCTCTAAAAGGGAGTTTCCGTTCAAGCAGAGCCCAGAATAATTAGGGTTGCCATATTTCAAAAAGTAGAAACCAGGACAAGCCCAAAATTGTAGTGCTTTTTTTTTTTTTAGACAAGGCCCCAAATAAACGCCAAAAAAGCCCATGAGTCTTAAATCCAGGACAAAGTGCCATCTTTTGGAAATTCCGCCTTTGAAATCTTTTGCTAGTCTTTCTTTTGAATGGGGTGGGGGGGTTTTCAATCTGGCCAGTCCCCACACAAAAGAATAAATGGAAACGAAGAAAGACAGTCACAGGTAGGTAGCCGTGTTGGTGTGCCATAGTCAAAATAAAAAAATTCCTTCCAGTAGCACCTTAAAGACCAACTAAGTTAGTTCTTGGTATGAGCTTTCGTGTGCATGCACACTTCTTCAGATACACAAAGACAGTCAGTTAGGATTACCCCCCAAACCCTAAAAACTATTTGTGAATCCCCCCCCCCAGCCAGGCCTCAAAGCCTTGCCTCAAGCATTTTTAAAACTGCATTTCCTCTAAGACAAAAAGCATTAGCTAAGCATATTCCTCTTGCTGTAACTAAAAGACTGCAACAAAGGTAGGGAACAGAGTCCATTGTTTTCTCAGAGCCTTTGGCCTTGCTAAAACCAGATTGCAACTTACTTTCTGTCCGGGAGCCATGCCAAAGCATGAGAATGAAACATAACTGGAAGAGTTCAAAAATGGTCCCAAGACAGGAACTTTCTGTTCATGCTCAGGAGACACATGGGAGGAGAAAGGGGAGGGAACTGGAAGGGGATATATGAGATTTCACCCCCTCCCATATCCAAGAATCTCCTGATGAGTCTGGTGATTTTCCAGAGAGGAGGGGCGGTGTTCTGCTCTCTACTTATTCTGCTCCAGCACCACATCAAAGAGTCAGTCAGTCAGTGTGTCGGAGAGAGAGAGACTGAGTGTTAGAGATCGTGTGTAGAGATAAGGTTGCTGCTAAGAGCAGCTGCAGACACTCAGTGCGGTTTAGCATTCTTTATGCTTAGACCTCATTTAGCTCTGTATATAGTTGTATAATA